TGTCAGGTCCACAGTGTTTCTGAAATCCTGTCTTTGTTTACCTGTTTTCTGTTCTTGCCAACAAAAAGCATTTAATAACTTTAAATTATATTTTATATTTTATTATATGCCAAACTGCTTCGTTAACATTGATAAACTTTTGTTTTCCTGGATTCACAGCTTGGTACATTGTATCTGTAGTATGGAAAACATTGTTCTTCACTGAATGTTCTTTGGATTTCTACACATGTGACGTTTTTATACTTCAAGCAAATATATTTCATTTAACATCCCAATAAAATGTCTCCCATGTGAATGTTTCAGTGGCCGTATTGTCCGACTGATGCTTTTAACTCCCTAAAAAGCTGTTTTCTCTCACTGACAGCAGTAATTTATCTCCCAGTGCTTTTTGTGTTTCTTCCACTACCAGTTTCTTGGATCTTCAAACCCATCATGGATCATCTGAATATCTACTTCTTTAAACCACCTCACAGATGTGTAGTTTTATTTTATGGTTATTTGATTTATCTTTTTTGAGGATTGGGAGGTCTGCATCACTTTGAGGTCATAAAGTGCAGTTTCTATTCTGGTATTCCTAAACATGGCCTTGACCAACACCTTCTGTAAAATAATAATAATGAGATTGATAATTAAACAAAAACCATTAACACTAATAGTGACACAAATAAAAAACTCGTCTGGAAACAGAAATTAAACTGATTGGAAAAGACAAAACCACAATGACTGGTGACTTAAAGAGTTAGTTCAGTTGTGGCTGGTGCTGATGGAGGAGAGCTTGAACCTTGTTCAGAAGAAGAAATATAAGAAAAAGGAGGTAAAAAGGTTTTACCTTCATAAAGTTGTCAGTGTTTCGAACTACTTCAGCAGTATGTATCAACATGTAGTACACGCTTTAAGGAGCCTGATTACTTTCCTAAATAGCTTTGGCATTTGTAGGAACTCATCTTTGTTTTACAAATTCCTGGGCTTTTTTAAGGAACTCTCAAATTTTCCGTTTAAGAACTTAGACTTATTTAATTAACTGTTGAACTTTTTAAGGACTTTGAGAACTTTTTAAACCACTAGAGAATTTCTGTAAGAACCTTTTGAACTTTT